TTCTTCTTCTTCTTCTTCTTCTTCTTCTTCTTCTTCTTCTTCTTCTTCTTCTTCTGTCTTTTTTAAAGGAAATTTAAAATAGTGTTTTTAGCGACGTTTCGTTTTTAGCTAGATTAATAGATAAATTAAATACTAGATTCTCGAAAATGAGTATCGCTCTAAAAGAAAGAATTCAAGTAAGTTGTTCGATAAATACCATATTGCATTTGGCCATGGTCACCCAACTGGACAGTCAAAACTAAGTATAACACATCACTCGGTCAATACTAACATTTTTTTCTTAGCATTATCGACCGAGAACAGTTTTAACTATTAAAATAGTTTGAAACAGCCCTAGTAGTTCGATAAATAGTGTACGTATTTGATCGCACCATTGGACATAAATACCTGTTTTAGCTTCATCGAACAGCTAATAGCTTAAAACGGCCATGTTTGCATGATATCAAGTACGGCTCTTGTGGCGGTAAAAGCGCTTGCCTCTCATTTTATCAAAGCAATCTGGGTTCGAGTCCTGCTAGAATCGGTGTCTTATGTGAGTAGAAGAGTTGCTTGTTAGTTCTCTCCTGTGCTTTGAGGGTTTTACTCCGGTTTTTCTCCCTCCACAAAAATCAACTTCTAGATTCTAAAAGCTTTTATTACACTGAGCCTAGAATCATACCAGTGAGGCTACGGGTCGATACAACGCTTGTTGTCTCATTTKCATGTCGAGCTCATTTGCATGCATGYCTAATATCTGCTATTAAAATTTCAGTGGATATAGATCCACTTTGTGCCAATGCCACTACTATAAGCTTATTTATCTTAGTGAAAAACTATTCTTTTGGTCTCCATAGCAACTATGCTGCGACTCAGTTCGAGGCCATAGACGCTCGTAGAGCATTTCCTTGCTTCGACGAACCCGCCCTTAAAGCCACGTTCAATGTATCGATCGGTCATCGATCTGATTACGTCGCACTGTGTAACATGCCCATCTACAAGACTGAAACGATAAATGGCGGACAGAGGATTGATTACTACAAAAAGACCGTTATCATGCCAACGTATCTATTAGCATTTGTAGTAGGGGACTTTAAATATGTGGAGACGATTAGCAAGAACAACATCAAGGTGAGAATTTTTTTTTTTTTTTTTTTTTTTTTCTTTCTAAAATTGATAAAAACTTTTTTAGTTGTTTTTGAGTACAGGATGCCAGTCGGGAATTGAAACAGCCCACTAGGCTCTGGATGTACTAATAACAAAAGCCAATTCAACATGTCAATTTAAAATCGCCAAAAATCATATCCTGGCTGCAAAATTCAAGTTTTTCAGAAAAAAGCTTGAAACTTAATTGCATGTTATTTTTTTCTTCTTCACTTCATGCACTTGGACAGGGGTAATGAAGCATTTCCGTCACAACAGATTAATTGCAATGTGGCGTCTTATACTACCTCTACCAGAATCCTTTGTACACTGTTTTCGTCTTATATTCCACATGGAGTGACAATATAAGTAAAAATATAACTTCGCAAAGCATCCTGGTAATGGTAGTTATAATACGCCCTACAAAATTACTCGATTCTGATTGGACRAGAGGAGTACAATTAAATCCCAAATTGGATTCTGTAGAGTTTGTTTCAAAAGTGTATCATAAACAAAAAAATCGCACAATTTTCTCGTACAATCCGGAATTTATAGCTCGTGATGTTTTGAAAGTCGCCTAAAAGCCTCATCCAATCATTGAAAACTTTCAAAACATCACTTGTACTATAAATTCCGAATCGTACTCAAGATAGATAGATTTCTTATACATACTAACGGACGGTGTACATACGTTAACAACATTATAGTGCTCGGGTATATCATGGGAATGCTTGTTGTCCCAATTAAAAGGACGGCCTTTATCAATTACCTTGAGAAATTTCAGTGAAATTTGAATTGTCTTATTAATATAATTTCAAACTCTCTTTTATTGTAGCTTAGATACTACAGTCGGCCATCTTTCTTAAATAAAACGCAACACTCAGTCAGTGTTGGAGGGAAGATCATGAGTTTCTTTGAAGATCACCTTGGCGTGCGATATACACTGCCTAAAGAAGGTCATTACATAAAACCTTATGATACTGAATATTTTTCCACGCATCTTTCCCTTGAGTATTTCTTTGTTTTCCCCTGCAATGCATGACCTTATGTAAACGTGTTAGAAGTCAAAGCTTCACCTGTCGATGAATAATTTGTTCATTAAAAAATACATTACAAATCCTAATCAAAATTCTTGGTTCCTGCGTATATATCAAGAGAGACAAAGTTCAAAGACGCAGCATTGTTTTGAGACAAGAAAAGGGCGTTATTTTGTGATTAAAAGAGATTGTTTCCACGACCGATTTTTTTTTTTAACGTTTTTTTTTCTTGGTTTAAAACACTCTATTTTAGAAGAAAGAAAAAGTCCGACCAAAAAACTGAACTCTAACATGGAACTCTAAACTACTGGGTCGCTTTAGATGGTTAACAGACCTTTTTACCGATACGGCGGCCATCTTGAATTCTATTGTTCTAATCAAGACATTATGGGATATCGAGCGGCAACTATTCGAAAACTTATAAAATGCACAGCTGTACCAGGGTTCTTTTACTTTTTAAAGAGAAGCACCTTCCTAAAAGCAATCAAATTTGCTTGTAGTTGGAACGATATGCAAACCAACAAGACCTCAAATTATTTAAAAAGTGAACCCACCACGTACTCTATACTTTATTTATTTTATATAAAAGTGCTTGCCCCCTGGGCCGAATCCCATATTTTTTTAGATAGCCGCCGTATCAGTTAAAAGGTCTGTTCCAGTGTCATATTATACATGCACATTTTTTCTTATTTCTTAATTTTATGACTAATTTCTAGACCAAGTTGCCATCCCCGACTTTGGTCCAGGAGCCATGGAAAACTGGGGTCTTATCTTATATCGAGAGTCATTGTTGTTATGGGACCCTAGAGAATCAACTGAGCAGGACAAACAATTGATATCATCAGTCATAACCCATGAACTTGCACATCAGGTATGTAGATCTGTTCATTTCTAGATCGTATATACTGTATAAACTTATTTAAACAAAGTAAGTCACCTGAAAAGCTACAAAGCTGAGACCAACAAGGATTATGGGTAGATACATTTTACACGTTTCAACTGCTTGATAACTGTTGATGGACTTGAGATCTTCTACCAGTTACAAGTTAACCTCCTCTGAGCATCCTCAACTGCAGCAGTTTGTGTCGAAACCTTTACTTGCTGTATATAAAATATTTCCCATGATTCTCAGCGATCACAGCTTTCTAGGTTTTTGTTGACTAACTTTATTGAAATATGTATACAATACTAGGTTTAGAAGTCATTTATATAACGATAACAATACACTTGTTTTATGAAATGGGTTCGCTTTAATGATTTCGACAAATCGTTTTTACAAATCATTCAAGATAAAAAAATGGTTGTCATAAATGTCTTTAGTTTCCCTTATTACTATGACATGGTACTCATTGACTAARTCAGACGTAATCCTTCACTTGCTAACAAAATAATTATCAAATATTTTGTTTTATGCGATTCAAATTCAGAGGGACAAACCAAGTATGCAAGAATATGCAGTGAAACACTGCATACCTGTTTTCTTCCCATACCATGGATAGAAGATATTTCCGTGTACATGACTGATATCCGCAACAGTGTTTTGTTGGCTTTATTTTCTCAAGTCAGAAAAAAACAATTTTGATAACTGAAAAGACTCCTAATTTCTACACATTGAATATGTAGTTAAACTCCAATTATTCGATATAAAAAATCATCTGTTTTGAACTAGTATAATATATATCTATTTGCATGCTACTTGAGCTATACCTGTTCCTGTACCTATCCTCCTCGCGCCTAAATGGCACACAGGGCCTTACTTTTGAGCTACCTAGTCATAACTAATTACTCATTGTTTGTTTGTTTGTTGTTGTTGTTGTTGTTGATTTTGAGTGTGGCGTCTTTTGTTACGGAAAGAAAACAGCAATGATAACAATGAAAAAGAAATTATTAAAGAATTACTATATAATCTCTTTTTATTTTTAGCGAGCTTTTGCACTACTAGCTAGTGCATCGTCAGGGCTAAAGTAATTTGCAAAGAATGATTCATATCGGGCATGATAAAGTTATCTATTTGACGATGAATATTACGTGTAAGCTAGAAAACTATTTACGCGCGCAATGTAAATCATGAAAAAAAGATGATGCTATATCTACGTATGTAAACAAGTAACATTCTAGATATAATTTTAAGATATTTTTTATAGATCACTGAGTTGTCCACAGAAATCCTCTCATTAATTCCACGTGTGTATTCGCCAAATGGTCTATTTGAAATTGTGTCTCTAGAATGAAGTCACTAAACCCGTGAATATTAGACTGTGACATTAGTAGACCCTAATTCCATTGTTTTCTTTCGTGTCTATTTGACCATTACACGTTGACTAGTATTTCTATTTTTCGGGTTAAATGCATTCACTCTATACTCGTTATATCAACTAGTTTCACAAGAAACTTGGATAAGTACAATTCCAYTGATATAGTACCATTGGATGCTTTGAATAATTATATTTGCTTCTAACAACCCCAAACAAATATTCGCTAAAATAAACTACCGAAATACAAATCATCAATGTATTCAATACTAGATGGGATTTCCACTTCTTTTTCCACACTCTATTGACTGCAACATTCATAACCCGAGTTTGGATCAATAGAGATAAGGTATTAAAGAATAGATCGATCAGTAGACCTATAGCGGCGCGTTCAAAAAAGTTGATTACATATGTGTAATCACTAAAAGGCTTCGATTCGCTGTACATGAAGTGGTAGACGTTAATAAACCCTATCGCACTAATGAGGGCAGTCGATTTTTGTAGCATTATCTGAATGCTTACATCAGCTATAAAGCGCCTACTTCGAGGGCTGCGGTATTTTGGGGCTTCAGATCTTTGTCTTCGAAGCAAACGATAAAAGTATTCCCAGATGTGGTCTCTCATGGTGATGGTTATTCTTTCTACAAGATCAATAATAGCGTGAGCTATTCCTAGAGCCACAAAAAGTGACATGTCTGACAGTTCCGCTTGCATTACTCGAAAGGTTACAGCGGAAGCTCCATATATTCCAGCGACCAGAATATGTGCCGTGCCAGGATGAATGATTCCCTTCAGGGATTGCGCTCCAAGGCGGGCAACTACTTTAGGGATTGCTGAAACAAGTGGAGAAAATGCTGCAATCAAGACTTTAAACTCTTCATCCTGCTCAATGTACAAAGGAACTATCCTGTAAACTACTATCATTGCTGCTGGAATACCAAGAACGAACTGTGCAGACAATATGAAGTCTAGTTTGAGAGTTTTTTTTAAGGAATCTGGATGATAATGTCGCGCTAAGAGGTAGTTGTTAATGATGATCGTGAGGCCGAATAGAACGTTGAGGGGAAATGACATCCAAGAAACCTTGTAGATCCCATAGATTTGAAAGTAAAGTCTGTAGGCAACGTCAATGAATCCAGCCAACAAGTTGAGGGTCAAAAGATGAAGATCTTTGATCAAAGACAGTGGGAATACTGCGATTATGCAACAGAAATCCCACATCTCGATGATAAATCCTTCAATAGACTGAGCTGTAACTCCAAGATTTTGGACGCGCTTGGGCATCGTGTACCAATTCAGAGTCTTATCGAAACACCACTCAGCTGTACCAAAGTCAAGAAAGACAATAACAACAACTAAGAATCCAATCAAAGTTCCAGAAATAGTTTGAATGAGAAGAACATTTTTAAGGCACATCCACAATGTTTCCTTGAAGGCAGGAAGGTTTTTTTYCCATGCTTTAGCATCTCTTTCCTCGCGTTGTGGAGGGTTGAATTCTCGGAAAATTGTATCATCGGGGTCAAACTTCGTAAAGTCTTCAAGATACTCACGGTTGCCTTCCTGATTCTCCTGGTTTTCCTCTTCGTCTTGCAGTAAAGACTCTTGTAACTCGGATGAACGTGTTCGACTATTTCCACATGATTCAATTAACGTTACTCCCATGCAGTTTTCTAGCAGAAAAGCGAGCAAAGCAAGAATATCGCCTAGCATGTTTGCAGCTCACCTCTAAGGTATTGATTGACTTCCTATCACAAGGGCATAGAAACCACATGAAACCGAAATCCTAGACAATACTTTCAACAGTCGGAAATAGAATATTACGGCACGTGATGTTAAGTCGTGATTTATTGCCAACTGTTCACAAAAAAACAAAAAACAAAATAGAAAATAAATAAAAAAACAAAACAAAACGAAACGAAACGAAACGAAACGAAACGAAAACAAAAACAAAACAAAACCAAACCAAAACAAAACAAAACAATGAAAAATACACACCAAAAAAAGCGCTAAAATAAAGCGAAAAAGGCTCTTCTTATTTAACCTTCATCTGAAACAATCAGGACATTGGGAAAAAATCCTGTCATGAAGAAAAAGTATGGACAAACCACAACTGCTAATTTTTTCGATCTGGAAGTCATTTTTCCACATGAATGAATCTTATTTTGGATAAAAAATGTCGCAAGTGAAAGTGCAGGCGCGTGCTGTGTTCTCTCATAAACTAACCAATCAGAACGCGATATTTATAACAGTCGTTATTTTATTATATATTCATTTGCCATTTTTTATTAATCTATCGATTCATGTTTTAGTGGTTCGGCAACATAGTGACCCTCAAATGGTGGAATGAAATATGGCTCAATGAAGGCTTTGCAAAGTTTTTTGAATATCCGGGGAAAGAAGTTGCTGAACCTGCTTGGAAGACGGTACGGTTTTTGACTGCCGTTTCATTTGTTACATGCATACATGTGTTCATGATTCCTATTTCAGTATGGTTAAGTTGTATGGCAATTAATTGCTGAACAAATATTTCACTTGCGTTTTATATTTTACCACTACCAGACTCCCTTGCACACTTTCTTTTGTTCAGTTTGTTAGCGCTACTCTCATGAGAATTTATAAATTTGAATAAGAAAGAAAATTCGCGAAGCATTTTGGTAGTGGTTAATAAAATGACGTCATCATGCAAACGGCTTATTCTTATGGTTGTCCTTTTAGTTTATCGTTTCGAAGGAACTGAAGATTTATTTCCATTTTATTTATCTCTTTCAGCAAGACGCCATGATATCCAGCATCATGAGGAAATCATTTGATTTTGATGGCAAAGCATCGTCTAATCCAGTCAGACCTCCAGTACACAATGGCATGAAGGGAATGGCTGGGGTCACTTACTACGATAAGGTGAGTACCAGCCATTTTGAATAATTGAATCTGTAGTCGAATATTGTTTGAATTCATTTAAGAAAGAACATGGGGTCAAGATCAATACAATGTGAAGAAGCAAACCATTGACTGAGGTCTGTCGGTTGGATTTACTAGTATAGGAACAGTCTTTCCATATCTAACACCGATGGGAATCAATGGGTGGTATACGGGGTGGCAGTAGACACCTCTGTAGTCTCGTTTCTATTCCTAGGCTCGGCATCATATGTGTGTAGAATTTCTTGGATCTCTCTACTTATTCAATATTTTTCTCCGGGTTCTTGTTTTCTTTTTGTCTCTGCAAAACTGCGAGTTAGCCGCGCCCTCTCGGAGTTTGATAAATGCAAAGGCTGCTCCCACATTGCAGTATGGAAGTTTTGTATCAATACTTTACTGTTCCTTTATAACAGGGTGCTTGTGTTCTCAGAATGCTTCAGGCATTCCTTGGAGAAGACGCTTTTCTCGAAGGATTAAAGGTAGATACTTTATCGAGAGTAGGTCTCATTATTGATACGATAAGCAAAAATAAACTAGGTTATTACTATTTTTTAAAATTATTATTGATTCTATTGTTTTAGCTAAAAGACATAATAAAGGAAATTTAAAAAAGACATCAGAAAATTGGTAGATTGCACAGCTGTCAGGGTGTCTTTACATATAAGTTTACGTTTTTCATTGCCAAGCAACATCTAAAAAGTAATTGTAGAATTTGCTGTGTGTGAAACACTAAGACTTCAAATTAATTGACCGCCACCCGGTAGCTCAGTTGGTAAGAGGGTCGGTCTGTTGTGCGGGAGGTCGTGGTTCAAGTCTTGGCCGGACCAACACTCAGGGTCTTAAAATAACTGAGGAGAAGGTGCTGCCTTTGTAACAATGTCTGCAAATGGTTAGACCTTTCAAATCTTCCTCGGATAAGGACTTAAAACCGTAGGCACTGTCTCTCAATCCTTCTTAACCTGCAGTAAAATGGGGGACATAAAAAAAACCTGTTGAGTTATTCGTGTAAGAGTAGGGGATGATCTCCCGGTTCAACAGCATATCCCAATCTGGAGGCCTAACGCTAACATACTAACAAATCACTCACGATTGTAAGCTGCACGGCCCTACTAGTGCCTTAATATGCAGCCCGTAAAGTCCTCCACTGATCTTGTAAAGCGCCATTGAGCTCCTGGAAATGACGCTATATAAATTCATTTACCTTTCTTTTTAATTGAAAACGTGACCCCGCCGCTCCATGGTACATAGTTTTTCTACGTGTTTGCTTCTTAAAGCCCCTGGAAGCCCATAATTCAAGATGGCCGCCGTTTCAGTAAATAAGTATATTTTTCTCTAGATCTATTTGAAAAGACATGCCTTTGCAAACGCCGTATCAGATGACCTATGGAGAGCACTCACTGAGGTAATGGCTATCTTTACTCTACTTCGTGCACTACGAAGTAGAAGCGGTGGTGGTGGTAGTCTGTAATAAGATGATTAACAAGTAAACGTGCAGATATCATTATTAATGATTGTGGCGCTATGATGGTTTCCAATGCTTTGAAAGTAATATTTTAAAATTTCTTTCATATTTCTTGTACTACCTATCCAGGCTAGCTGTGCACGTGGGCAGTGCGTGTATGTCAAGCAAATCATGGATACATGGATAGTACAGATGGGTTACCCTGTGGTGACGTTCAAGAAAATCAACTCAACTCACTATTTAGTCAGTCAAACTCGCTTCCTTTTTGACGACACTGCTAACGTAACAGATACAGTTTATAAGTCACCATTCGGGTACGTGAAATCAATGTGCTTCGTTTAATTTTATCAAATGATTTCTAATAGCCATATAAGTTAATGTCTGTTTGAGGGAATTCAATCTTGTTTTTTGGGATTCTCAATAATAGATATTTGGAAAAATTAACATGGTGCTTAAAGTGCCTATCACCCTTCTGACAATATTCTCAGTGTTGATTCTACATGGGGTAAGATGTTGAATAACCCGAAAAAATTACATAGTTTGAGTGCGGCTTCTTGAAGTTATGAAGGTTTTTCCATGTCATATGCTAATGCTGTGACGTATGAGGAGGCATTTATGGTTATTTGTTGTTCCTCGTAATTCGAAACACCCGCTTCTATGRGAAAACTAACTTGCAATCATTTCTATAAGAGCAATGAGGAAAACAATGACGTATTTCAAATTTAATTTATCTGTACCAGTAGTGTTTTGTATATTAAATGATTACTCCTCATACGTCACAGCATTAAGACAGCATTATATATATTTTTTAGTGTTATTCAACATCAAGGGTGATAGGCACTTTAATGTAATGGTTTAGATTAAAACAAAACCAGGTAAAGAGCTGAGTTATGAACGTTTCTATGTATGTGTGTAGCAGTACCAGAATTAAGTATGTCTAGGGTTTTTGAAGAAGGTTCCAGGTACTGAATTAATAATAATTAAGTGGCTATATAACCTTTGGGACCATCTCTATATTCGTTACTCTCCCCTCAATCATTTTGTAGTCTTGATGTTTTTAAATACAATAAAAAGTAAAAGACAAAGGAATTAAAATTTGTTTCATTTTCCTAGGTACTCATGGGTAATTCCTTTCACTTACGTCATCAAAAGCCAAGCTGGGCATCATCTATCTTGGATGAACTTGTCATCAGGTATGACAATCAATGCTATTATTTCTTTATCTCAAACATAGATTGTGCAATATAGAGTTGAATTCCTTTACTTAGTTCCTACCAGTATTTGCTCAAAACAAACATCACACTCMATTTTCAGTTTTATTTTGACCATTTTTCGAGTGCAATTAAAGAGCGATAATACACGGTCGGTGAACCTGTTTTGTACGTTTTTTTGTTGTTGTTGTTGTTTTGT